AGAATAGGAGATATGACTAATCTCAAGTGTTTTATGTTATTTGTTATTTGTGCTTCTGTTGTGATTACCGGATTGGTAGTTCTCGTTATTAGAGATGATTATATAATTTCAGATTTGTATAGCGAATGTACTCTCAGTGTAGGAGGATATGATGATAGTAAAATAGCAGGTGTAGCTCTTATTTGTGCTGGCGGGATTCTATCGCTAATTAGTGGCGCCATTATGATGGCAAGGTTAGCAAACTTGCCCTATCCAACTATTCAAGTGAAACGACCGCGTGATTTGAACGAAGAAATTCAGGGAGATCCGGAGAATTTTACCTAAGTAGTAGAATGAAAAGGGCCAATAATGAAATAGTAGGGGATCTACGATAAATCTTTTGATTCCCTGTCAAACGGAAGAAGAGTGAAACAATCGAAGAAGCAAGTGAATAGTGTACCAAATATGATGCCAGGCGAGCCGGGAAAAAGCGAGAGAAGGAACAAGGACAATTCGCAACATTGGTTTATTCTATTTCTTATTTCATGTAAATACTTATCTGAAATGTAAATATTTTTTATTAATATTTATTTTTGAAATATTTGTACAGTATTTACTGTATTTGACAGTATATTTAATAATATAGTGCAAGAAGCTTAAAAACTATATTTGTTTATTTTGTAACTTGAAAAAAAACTTTTCTTTTTAGATATTGATTCGGCCCTGCTTTATTTCTATATAGTGCAATAAGAGAATAAAACTATTTTTGATAGTAAATAAAGTTCAATAACATCGTTGAAAGATAACCCTCCCTTGACCTTTTATCACTTTTATTAGATGTTATAAGATTTACTGTATTTATAATACAAATTAAGAAATGTTATAATTTAATGATTGGTTGTGCCGTTTCTTTTTTACGATATTAATTTCACTAACTTGTTCGTATCACTTGCTTCAAAACTTTGCTTAAAACTCACAAATAAAACAATCAATTAAAAAAACAAAAAAATAATAATGATTCTTAAACTTAATTTGACGCTCTAAACTATTGGATTGTTGAAACTTATTTATTTAAAAAAAAAATTCAATTTTGTAACTATTAAAAATATTTATCTTATATACAGTATATAATAATAATATTTAATAGTTTACCTGTCTTAATCTTATAAATGAATATTAGCAAGTAACAATTAAAGATATTATTATCAAATATTTATTTACAAACTTCACATATTATTTTTTGAACTTTAGAAATTATAAGATATTAGATTTAAATAATA